CCTCCTTCGTCTTCTTCTTCTTCTTTTTTTTTCCTTCTTCTTCTTCTTCTTCTTTAACGAGAGCATGGTAGCGTTGACGATCAGAAAGTGGAGTGGGTCGAAGAAGCTCGGTGTAAGGAGCATCAGTGGGAGGGTCGCATAAGAACGGTTAAACTTCTGAGGGAATGTTGGGTTGGGGGAAGAGCCTCAGTTAGACTGACTTGTCTTCGCACAGTAAAAGGTGGCCCTGATACAGAAAAAATTAGAGTTCTGAAGCTTGCTGTTGGATCACACCATCACAATAAGACACCCGGAAACAATGAATTATCAGCGATCTGGAGGCATCGTCTCCTATCAACTTTCCAAATTTCACAAGTTGGCGCAATTAATGGTGCACTTAATCACCTGTAAAGGGGTGGAAATGTGTAGCTCGAAAGTTAGACAGTCGGTACGGTAGGAGACCTAACTAATGAAGGCTAATGAGCCTGCATCCGACAACAGGGTGACATGCGCGTGATTTAGTTTATAATAGTGGTAGACTTACAATGCATCTACCCCACTCCCTCCTTCTCATCCACAACCGCCTGTGCCCCTGGTAAGTTGTGGCTATGCAGCCCCACCTGATGCACACAATACTCTTCGCTTTGATGTTACAGGTTAGGGCAGATAAATCTCAACATTTCAAAGTATTTCAATTTCCAATAGCTTCTCTTTTGCATAAATTACTTGACCTCTTCGACTGCGGATTCGGTGGCCACACCTGTAAAAACCCCTATTACCACCGGTCTCGTATTACAAATGGCTGGGGTTTGTTTAATACAGGTGGGGCTACATAACCACACCTGATCGGGCCCATTTTCATGACAAAATCAAGAAGACCGAAGGTGGGAGAGGGCACAGTTGGTTTGGCAGAATTTGAACGATTCATATTGACCCAGCTGTGAAAATTTCGACGCCTCGGTGGGATTCGAACCCACGCGTCGTCCGGCGGGGCCTCGTAGCTCAAGTTGTTAGAGTGTTGGCGCAAGATATTTCGTACTTCTGGCGGGACACAATTAAATGGTAATAAAAGTAATTATGATAATGATAATAATACTAATTCATAGATAACTAGGCAGATTTTGAATCATTCATACTGACCCAACCGTGAAAATCTCGGCGCCTAGGTGGGATTCGAACCCACGCTGTAAGGGGAAGGCTTTAGTACAGCCAACGCTCCAACCACATGAGGTACGAGGCCCCGCCGGACGACACGTGGTTCGAATCCCACCGAGGTGCCGAGTTTTTCACAGTTGGGTCAATATGAATTATTCAAAATCTGCCAAAATATCTATGAATTACGTGAGCCTGGTAGTCATCTGGCGGATTCTAGGTGAATTACTTAGGAAATCCTGCTTGGGCAGTCTACATACTGTATCAGATTTGGTGGATTCCAGACGTTGCACTAAGTTGGGCGGGTAATTTGATCCAAATGTGATTAAACTCGCGTCGTCCGGCGGGGCTTCGTAGCTCAAGTGGTTAGAGCGTTGGCAGTACTGAAGTATTCCCCTTATTGCCTGGGTTCGAATCACACCGAGGCGCCGAGTTTTTCACAGTTGGGTCTGTATGAATACCATTATTAATAATAAAAATAATAATAATGGCTAGGAGATGGAGCATGCATTTTTTATAATGCCCTTTTTCAGTTAACAGCACATTGGAATGGTTGTACGCAGAAGTACGCACATGCAAATGAAGGAGGTGTTGATTGCTGTGGAAACAGAAGACTGAGGCAGAGAATTGGTCGAGCAGCCCTTTCTGTGACAGGGGACTGTAGATGCGACTCAGAAGACAGTGGCGACAATTGTTTCAGCAAGGCGAGGCCCAACCTTTGGAGGTGCGCCGAGGGCAGTGCGCGCATGCGTGCTTGCCTGCGCACATTACCTTTGTCCGCCTACAATCCAGATAAGCGAATGACACACCGCCGATTGGCGTCAAGCTGTCTCCTCGACGTGGCCATGTCACGTGCGTTGCAATCAGCATCCAATTGGCAGGAAGTGTTATTTAAGCTGCCAGAGGGCGTCATGAGAGAATAACCATACTGGCGACCAGGAGAACAGGCTGCCACAGGCACACAATCTCGCCTCAACCGCTGACTGTCCTACCACACAACATCCTCGCAGCCGCCACCGTCACCGTCTCAGGACATGTTAGTTATCAGTTAAACGGTCTTCTTACTCAAGGCGGGTATGGGTTGGACGAATGGCATTAAATAGAAGCAACTGGCTGAGCGAAAGCCAGATGGCAGGACTGCCCCAAATCCACAAATCCCACCTTTCGCCTCGACCGATCGTAGCCCTAGGCGGCAGCCCAGTCAGCCGGGATGACTCGCAAACCACATCTTCTTTCAGGTGCATCTGGGACGTCAGTAAAATCGGCATCTCAACTCCTCACCAGTTCCCGCGAGCAAAAGTGGAGCTTCACGAGGCGACACTGTTCGTCGACCTGACACTGTTCTTTGCACCCATCTCACCGGATTTGGTGTACAAGGCTATGCGTTGCGTCTTCCATTGAAGTATGGTAAATCACGGGCATGTCTTTACTGATATTGTCCTCACAATAAACGGATTCACGCGAACCTCGCCAGTGCTGCCTTCAGTCTGTGCGGCATACGGTGGAGTTCGCCAACGGCTGCAATTTCCTTAACCAGTCCGCAGGTCGCCCGAGACTCTGAAACTACTGCTCGGCCTATATGAGCCAAAAAGTGTCTCCGAGGATGATCCACAAACAGAAGTATTGTCAATGACTGATGGGACTGGCGGTGGATTGTAGTCCGTTGTGAATATTGACGTGGCGTTTTAGACAAAACTGTGACATGTCCTTCGCTCCGGATGATCCAGAGGACGATCAGCATTGCGCCCATGTCCAGTTTTCCATTGGACATGCGCTATAAAGGCATTGGACCAGTTAGGATACAGATCCTCGTGGAGCTGCAGGGAAATCTGTGGCTGCAGTTGTTTGACTTTGGCATAAACTGCACTCTTCCGTACAGGTTTCGTGTGCACAGTCAATTGCGAGCATGAGCTAACAGTTTGTCATCTCGCAGTCTCGTAGGGGCACATTCAAATAACCGAACCAGCCGATGAGGCTGACGGAGTAGCGACAGGCAGGAGGAGTGGAGGTAGACCGATGGCGAAGATGACGTGACGTCTCTGTTTTACGTGTGACACATATAGGACTGTGTGTGAAGAATGCTTGATATTGTGCGCTGGTGGAAGGAGAGGACAAATGGGAGAAGATTAAAGTACACAGAGTGACTAGCAAACACGCCGGAAAATCCTGCTGGGATTAAGAACGGGCTTGCGCGCATATTAGGGGCTTATTTGAAGGTTCATTTTATCAAAATTCCAAAGGAGTCCAGGTCAGCATGAAGAACCAGCGTATATGACCGGCAACAGACACGCTGAGATATCACATTTGGCCTTGATTTTAGGCAACAAGCCATCATGATGCGGCGTAGTCGTGCTGAAAAATACGTGGCATTCGGGATATGTGCTTTGTCTAGTTTCCTCCAGACCAATTTCAGACATGGCAAGACGATGATTGTTATAATAGGAGCATATTGAGAATCGAGCGATGTGCGTAGAGGTGATGCACATCTTATTTCGGAGTTGTCTAGGTCAGTGCAGAGCAAAGACAGGTTGTGGCTGTCCCTGTACATACACGCTCGCTGCTTCCTCCCACCTCACTATGAGAAGATATATTTAAAAGCCGAGGTCCAATCATGTGTTTAAATATTTTATTTCAGGAAGGCGGAGGAGACGCAACCGTGGAAATACGAATTGACCTTTCAGGTTCACATCAGAGACAGCATCAGATCATGGCGAATGATGCAATCCTTGTGCATGCTTGCGCTCCCTGCTCGCAGGCCGGTGAGCCAGATGGCCGAGCAATCATCCCGCCGGCATGCAACAGGAGTGACGAGATTTCAGCAATTGACAACTTGCATGCAGTCCATGAAGCAATTAGCGCACCAGCGGGCAACAATCCTCGATGAGGGGGGGGGAGGGCGATTAATTATCATTGGCATGCAGTGGCATAGCGACTGCAGCCTATAAATACTGCAACCTCCCGTGCACGAATCACCCGTTTCTGCTACTGCCTCTGATGATGGCTTCGAGGGAGAATCCGAAGCGTCGGGCGAATAAGGCTCTAATTCCAGCGATCGCTTCTACTTCTTATCAAATGACACAACGCCGATTGGCGTCTAGTCGTCTCCACGACGTGGCCATGTCACGTGCGTTGCAAATGGCAGGAGGTTTCAGGCTGACAGAAGGCGTCGTGAGAGAATAACAGACTGTCGACCAGGAGAACGGACTGCCACAGGCAAACAAGCTCGCCTCAAGCGCTGACTGTCCTACCACACAACATCCCAGCCGCCGCCACCGTCGCAGGGCAGGTTAGTATCTTTTTTATTCTACTCTTCATTCACATGGGAATTTTCTTATATTTACATCTGTCGGCCTATTTCGCAAATTACATACATTCATTTTCCCCTCTTTGTTTATCTGAAGTACAATAATGAGGTCATCGTTGCTCTTTAAATTTCCTTAGAAATTGACTGCAAACCTGGAGTACATCTGCATCCTTAAGGTCTATAGGCTCACACCAAAGTCTGTATGTATGAATATTTCGGCCGAAGTCCATCAGCCATGTCGGTATACTACGCTGGCAGACTTCTGATCTTCTGGTCACCACAGTGATTGACCGATATCATGAAATATTGGCGGAAATGCTTCGATTGGGAAAAATTATTTGGGTGGGATTGTAACATTGATTATCATTCAGCATAACGCTATTGAATTTCGTACTCGACGGAATGTCGCCATTTGAATGCACTTGCTTACAATCTTCTGAAGTAACCACGCTGGTTGAAAAATGACTACATAGTTCGTCTGAATTTTTTACATCAATTTTCGCTGACAAAATAAATTTAAATACATTATATAGAAAAGGCACAAAAATATGCTTTCATTTAGTTGTTTGGCAGAAGGTCACATCCTCTTTACACTTTATACCCCAAGCAATTTTATCCTTCGATTTTACCAAACTTTTGAATTACGAGATTTCTAAGACCGTACGATGTCCATACATACAGCATGGCACATATCAGTTTCACAGTGCTCCTCATGAAATGTACAACATAGTCCACATCCATTGCAGAATTTCATGAAATCCATATAGTACCTTCTTAGGGTATAGAGGAGTATGGGATTTTCCTTACACGGAAAGCGTACACCTTGCAGGTTGCCATCGCTAAGCGCAAATGCAGTGGCAGATCAGGCTCGAAATGATTCGGGAATTGAGAAACATTTCCAAAACTGAAATACACACTTTCGGGTATAAAATGTGAGCACAATGTGGTTACCGACCAAGCGTGTAAATGATGCATATTTTGTGCATTTCTTCTACAAAATATATTTGAATTTATCGGCACAGACGAAAATAAATGTGAAAAATGCATGCAGAATAAGTGATCATTTTTACTGGTTGTGGTTTCTGCATGAGGTCGAAATACTACAGCGTTACGCCGTATGATAATCGATGTTACAACCCCATCTAAGTAATCCTTCCTAACCGAAAATTCCATTTAGAATTTCGATCAACATTTCATGAGACCGGTCACGAGCTGTATCTGCTTTGCATGCCCCATTTATATCCACTGTGGATGGAGGCCTATTTGCTGAAAATTTTGGAATGAAACTTGCGAAATGAGATCTATCGTGCTCCCTCTCTCTAACACAGGCGAAAGAACGAATGATGTTATACAAATGCGACTGACAGGCAGAGAAGGCCTCGATGATGCCGACTAGATCAGGCATGATCGCAGCCGTACCATTTAGAAGAAGAGGAAGACATGAGGGTCAGACCTACACACATTCTGTCAAGCTGGATGACACGAAAACCATCTTTTGATGTGGGGGCGGTTCTCAGACCTTAATTAAATCAACATGAAAATATCAGACTGAGCCCCGAATACGAGACTGAACCTTTACGAGATCGTACTATATTTGGACACAAGATTGCATTTTGCATCAACCGCGACCGAACTGGAACGCGAACCTGCGAGAAGAGACCTACATTGGAGTAGGATAAAAGGCGGTACCCTCTTAAGATTGGGCATGTCTTCATTGATATTGCATCCACAGTTAAATAGTGTTACAGGTCGATGCGCCCTGTCTTTCTGGGCTAATTGCACATGTATCTGCATTTATGCTGTACCAGATAATACAGGACATTTTGCAATTTTAAAAATCCACCTACAGCTTCTCCTATCGGAATCATTGTAGAAAGTGCATGTTCAATCCCCATGGACCTGGTGGATGCTGAGGACCGCTCGTCTCCTCTCTCCTTCCCATTTGGCCTGAGCAGGCCTCGCCGCAAAAATCAAATGTGTGGTGCCTACGAGGAGGCCCTTTCCGTCAGCATCCGCTATCTGCGCCAGGCGCCTACGAGTCAACAATATCCTGCTCATTCCCTCCCTCCCATCCTCGTCTCCGCCATCACTGATTGCGACGTCTTGAGAGAAATGCTTGCTCTCCATGGCGGCTTCGTGTAGCGTATATTTACAAACTGATGTAGATATAGATCTGGATACACCATGAAAGTCGCATGAGGAAATACGATATGCAAATGACGTAGAAACCGTCGACTACAATACGTAGCCAATTTGTACACTCTAAAGATTGGATGGGGATGCTAGCCTACAGTGTCCTCCCATTGTCACGCACGTCAGAAAAGTATTGCTTTTAAGGCACGTCTGGTGAGTGAACTGTCTTGCACACACACCTATGTCACACAAGGTCCTAGGATTCAGTAGCCTTCGATGTTTTCATTGATCCTTGATGGCGGACTTGAGTGAGAGTTTGATACGTCGACGTAGTACCATGCTAGATCTGGGTCTTTTCTTCTGCAAATATCTTACCTAACTTACAGGTACTTACACATCTCACGCCTGTAGATAAGGATAATACAGACAGCCAACATGTCGGTGATATTCTCCAAAATGACTGCCCGCAGTGAACCCTGTCTCGATAATGACAGTCAGTGATGCACTCTCTGGACTTCCTGCGAAAATTGCATCAAAGGGCAATTTTTCTGAATGATGGAAAGCAGATCAGTGCCGAACATCAGTATGAATGTAATCTTAGAGCACTTTATGCAAAAGGAGGATTTCGCCCGGTCGTCGCTCACGATCATTCATTTCTGAATGCTTGCTTGCGGAGATAATGCTGCTTGAGGGTACTGTGTGACGGATACACGACAAAGCCTTCGTGCTGTGTGCACACTGGTGTAAACTATGCATGGCAAACGTGTCTGACCTCTGTTGACAACGTATTTCTCTCCGCCCCCATCTTCCATCCCTTCCTGCCTGCCTGCAGGTTTACCGCGATGGACTCTCATTCGTCGGGCTGCGTTCTCAGCATTCCACCCTCAGCCCGAGACTGGAGTGATCCCGAGGACCTGCTGTAGGATGCCAGACATGACGTGAATTTGATACAGCAGTTGGGCCAATTGCCCATCTCCTGCGTCGGCTGGTCAGAGGGCGACCAGTTAGCCATCCAGACAGCATCAGACTTGAATTTCGACGGTCAGCCGCGTTTTGATTGGCCAGTTCTGCTGGTGGCGCATTCGGCTATTTGTCCTCTGACACCAACCTCGTGTCACCTGACATTGCGGTTTAATGATCTGTATCTGTACTCCTCATACACTGTTTCTGTTAATGCTGACGAGTACTAAAATAAAAAGCGCGATAAATGCACCGAAAGATGTGCTATTTTTTTCCAAATATTGGGATGTGTCATCTGGTTGAAACGGTTGCTGAAGTGGATTTGGAAGAGGCGATTGCAGAATGCGCATTCTGCCAAGTTATCTCATTGGCTGTGGCCTGCTGATTTGCAAAGTCACTTGGATATCTTTTGAAAGCAGGACGAAATACATACGAGACCGTTTTGCTCAGAGCTGCGAGCTAGAGCGTCCACAGATAGTCGCACAGCAACCCACCTTCATATATCAGACCTCTTCTGATTGTCATTAGGGTGTTTCTGTTTATTAAGGGAAAAACCATTGATAAGTGAGAAGGTAAAAAAGGAATTTTGTACATAACGCCGGACAGCTGCGAGCTAGCCGCAAAATAGTAATCATTAATGGTTACTTCCTAATTGCAAGTAGCACAGACACACACGTTAGTGTCGGGTTACGTGAGTGGATGTGAGGCTGGTGATTGGGAAGCATGATAAGCGTCAAGTCTACACTTCAAAGAATTCACACAGGAGGCAACTACAACATCGGTAGGCAGGGCATTCCACGCTGAAAATACTCCGTTACTGGAAAATAACCTTCGTCCATTGATCCTTTCTTTCCCTGCGCGTAGTTTTACGGGAAGACGCGCAAAGTGGGCGTGTTAGCTTGAGTAAACTAATCAGTGGCATCTAAACAACAGTATATGCCGTTGATAATGCGAAATGTTAATATAAGGGAAACAGGTTGAGAGTTGACAGTCTGGTTTCATAGGGCAGTGCTCCCAGACCTCTTGAATGTTTGTACTTGTCTATTGAAATACTACTTTGTCATTTAAATGCAACTGCGCCTTTGGACTTAGGTGTACGTCGGTGGAGATACCACCTAATAATAATTGGACGTGGTCTTAGCTATGTGGTGAATTAGGATATTGTATAAGGACCTTTATAAGTTAGTGGAATAATGAAATATTTTTAGGAAGAGGTAGGCACATGGGAATGAAGGAGGCATTGGTGGTAGTTGTGAGAACTGAACTATGGCTAGCTCACGGGTTACCTAAAAGGGGGAAGGTGTGATGGGCAGGCGGGAGGTCGGAAGTGAGCGTTGACGCACTGGCCCAGAAATTTGCACGGCCCATCCACGTGAGCCACACAGGACCAGTTTGAATTCCGTTTAAAGTGGGCTGACCGTGACAAGCATCGCGCTCAAATCTCCAACCCGATCTCAGTGTCACACACACGCACACGACAAGTTGAATTCCGGCAGGGACTAGAACAGGTGTAGATGATAATCCACAACTAGTTGCAAGCCAAACCCTATCAACTGCGGCGAGGAAATTTCACATAAACCGAAGAACTATATATACATGGGGATAACAGTGGATGCGTTGTGAAACCAAGTCTGTCAGGACATATGGCGTTGATTTTTGCGGCGTATTTCCCTGTCGTGTTGGGAATCATGGCGTCGAAGATTCGTCTTCGGTGCCATTTCGAATAGATTTTGTCAGTCCACATCAAGATCAAGTCGCCGTAGCAGCTGGAACGTGAGTAAATGCTCACGGACGTCTTGTCGATAGTGGAGGCGGTAGACGTTTATGGCTGCAAGGCGCTATTCGTACGTCTAATATTTGAGTTCAGGGACAAGCTATCTAGCACGTCCTTGCACACCACCTTCTAGATGAGCTATGCCCTCCGGAATTAACGGACGCCAAGCCTGTACCGCATATTCCATGTGTGTCCACACAAATGTTCCCCATACCTCACCGAAGATATCCGCATCCACGTCATAGAAGTTGACGTTGTCTGCACTGCGATGTTACGTTCACATCGCCTTTACTGAATTCTTCACGCACATGTTGATTGCAACTAATTATGCGGTTACTATTCTTATCAACCTCATCTCTTCACTGATCAGGCTGATCACATCCCTGCAGATCATATATACGCCTTCCACACACTACCAATTCCCTAACTGCACACCACCTATCAGATTCCACTGGGGATGAGGGAGATCTCGCTCCGACGAGAGTAATCCGAACGTCACATCAAGGCTGAGGCATGCAGTCTGACCCTAGGTCCTGAGTAGGGGGCGTGTCATGCCGCCAGTTTGAACAACGTCAAGAAACAACTGTTTGCCAGTCCTAATAATCAATGCAGAGCTCATTTTCCGTTTACAGCGAAAGCATTAATAGACGGAGTCGACTTCGACTGTCATCACCCTCTCTTCTCCAACCCCATCTCGGTGGCTTGCTCGAGTCAGGCGGTCTGGGAATGAGGAGACTGGGTACAGTGGCTGAGATTACCTGACAGTCCTATTTACGCTGTGGGAAACATGGGAAGCAATAAAACCAAATCCGACAACACATTCAAATAATAACTACAAATTGGCACAATTATGGTTGCATTTATCGCGCATTTTATTTCAATACCTATCGACCTTAACATTAACAGTGTGTAAGGAATACAGAGAATTAAATCGAGGCGTCGGACAAGAGGTCGGTTGACACGAGGTGGATGTCAGCACCCATAATGTGCACATTGCCGGACAAATAAATAAATGCGTCACCAGCAGATCTGGCCAATCAAAATGCGACTAACCGTCAATATTCAACTCCGATGCTGCCCGGATGGTTGACTGAGCGCCCTCTGACCAGCCCACGCAGGGGAAGGGCATATGACCCAGCTGGCACATCAAATTCACGCCAAATCGGGCATCCTGCAGCAGGATCTGCGGATCACTCCAGTCGCGGAGGGGGGAGTGCTGGAACCGTAACTCGGTGGATCAAAGCCTATCGCAGTAAACCCAAAGGGGGGGTTGAGGGTGGATAGACATACCAGTAGGCAGTTCTCTGGAACTTGAGCCGTGCATAGTTGACGCACTCGTGCTCATGGCCTGAGGGGGGGATGGTACTCTACCGGTTACAGGGTACTGTCATGCAGCACTATCTCCGCGACATTTGTCCCCAAGGCAGACCACGCAATGGATGCGCTGCATAGCCACGGGGAACTAGATCGGAGTCTGGCAGGCCTTATTGACGATGCTCACCTCATAAGACATGCCGCATTTGGGGTGTGACGGCACGCCCAATTCGTAAGAAGACACAACACCAAGCCCCACTGGAGGACACGCACTTATGTTATGACGTAGTGATAAGTGATTACAGAGACGAGGATGGCGGGAAAGAGGAGAATATTGTTGGATCCTGGGCGACTGGCGCAGATAGCGGATCCAGGTGGAAAGAACCTCCTCGTAGGCACCAAACATTTGGTTGATGTGGTGATTCCGGAGGCCAATTGGAGAGGAAGGAGGTGATGCGTCGTTGCTGAAATTGCTAACGAAAGGACGCAGTAGTCGACTACAGACGAGCAGTCCTCTGCGTCCACCCAGTCGATTAGGCTTAAACATGCACTTTCTGCATTATCTGGTAGAGAATAAATGCGGATATGTGTGAAATTTTTTTCAGAGAGACAAGAGGCCTCGCATTATTTAAATTTTGATGCAATATAAATATGTACATGCCTGATCTTAAGAGGACTTTGTGCAGTGGCATCCGCTCCAGTGTCCCCTCCCCCCCCCACCTTACGGCGCCGATGACCGCGACAACAGGCATTCCGCTGACGCACAGCCATCCCTCGGGCCTGTGCTGAGCCGCCTCTTTCTCACCGTCAATGGATCACGTCTGCGCACACAGTTTCTCACTCGCTTCGAAACTCCCCGCTGGTTACCCGTGCGCGCCCTTCTCATCATGCACCTCCGACTCCGCCCCTTAACCATCCAATCACATGTCCAACACTCACCGACACATTCCCTCATGCCGAC